GACCTTGTCGAACATTCTGTGACTACCCTATAAATACAGTTGTACTAATTTTCCTTTGTCTCCATAAAGGGCTGTGTAGAGCTGCCGTGTCTTTTGATATACCGTAGTAGGCGGAGCAGGAAGCCAAGGGACCGATACAGAGCTGCACTACCGTTCAGCAAGACACAACAGGGTGCGAGACGTAGCCTCTGCACACAGATGATGTGATGTGTCTTCAGTTATCTGAGCACCGATGCCTCGGAAGCCTGGCTGACTTTGGATGGTGTCAGCGTGTTAGTAACGAGCTGATTAGAGGACGGGTATTTTTGGTGGCGCGGTAGGTATTTCAATCGCGGAAAACATCCAGCATCAGCGACTACGATAGCTCAGTCACGTGCTACTCATGCCAAAACACCGGCTGTCGAGACTAGTGATGTTCTCCAAGCCCTCTTAAAGATAGCGCAAAATTCGAGGTGGACAACGCATGACTTGACAGAAGGGTGTGAAAGAGATCACGAAGAGTTTGGGTATTGTTTGTGTTGTAAGCCTTCCAGGATGAGGTACCCTTGACCCCACCTATGCTTGGCTGGAGACATTGCAAGAAATGGCAGCTAAGGTCACTGGTGTTCATGCTGTCAGTTTCTCTACAGATTGATTGAGCGGTTGGAGGTGTAGACCCCCCACAGAACGCTTGACATAGGCCAGCACTGGATCCCCTCCTTTACCCACTCCTTTTCCCTTCTTTGCACTCTAGAGCTTTAAATATAATTAGACGAACCTTGTGGTTGTATGGCAGTGAAGCGTCAGTGTCAACATTGATGTTGCTGCCTTTGATAATGATGATGGTTTATGAAAGCAGCTACGCTGCCTCCGAGGAAAAACGAGTTGGCAAAAACCGGCCCTAAAATGCCAAAACACCGGCTGTCGAGACTAGTGATGTTCTCCAAGCCCTCTTAAAGATAGCGCAAAATTCGAGGTGGACAACGCATGACTTGACAGAAGGGTGTGAAAGAGATCACGAAGAGTTTGGGTGTTGTTTGTGTTGTAAGCCTTCCAGGATGAGGTACCCTTGACCCCACCTATGCTTGGCTGGAGACATTGCAAGAAATGGCAGCTAAGGTCACTGGTGTTCATGCTGTCAGTTTCTCTACAGATTGATTGAGCGGTTGGAGGTGTAGACCCCCCACAGAACGCTTGACATAGGCCAGCACTGGATCCCCTCCTTTACCCACTCCTTTTCCCTTCTTTGCACTCTAGAGCTTTAAATATAATTAGACGAACCTTGTGGTTGTATGGCAGTGAAGCGTCAGTGTCAACATTGATGTTGCTGCCTTTGATAATGATGGTTTATGAAAGCAGCTACGCTGCTCCGGCGAAAACCGGCCCTAAAACTACTCACTCCGATCGCCCAACGGTTGATCGTGAAAAGCTGCGCATTACTCAATACGGTCTAAATGCTTTCGAAATTTAAGTGTAGTGCGGCCCAGAAGACAACCGCTGTGCGCAGCCGCATTAGGGGTTGAACAATTACGTCTTACTCCCTGCGTCATCGGGCCAGGTCAGATCCTTGCAGAGTGTGTCAAGCTGCTGAGTTACTGGCTCCGGGAATAGTTCCGTAAGAAAGCCCCAATAATCGCTGCCTTGCGGTTCAGTCTTTTGATTCAGATGCTAGAAGGATCCCCGAACAAAACTCTATATCATCCCACCATCTTGTAAGACAGACTTTTGAGTCGAAGGATCGAGGGGGATACCTCAACCAAGCCCCTTTCTTCGGCTTGGGCAACCGAGAAGTACCATCCCCTTGCATTCCTTTGTTCACCGCCCCCTCTTCACCCATCGAGTGAAGCATTGAGGCCAACCTAGTTGTCAGTTTTATAATCATTGTTCCGCATGCAAACCCTCACCCGAACAAAAATACGTCCTTACTAAACTCCAAAGATCTGACCACTGTCGCAGTCTTCAATGTCCGTCGAACTGCGCAAAAGGCAGCTTTTGCTGGAACCCTGTCTTCTCCATATCTGTCGATGCACGCTTGGTCTCCAAAACACACACAATCGTTCAGATGTAACACCTTTTCGGTGCCTAACTGCCATGCCACCTGAAGGAAGCATGAAGGCTGGGATACTGTCAGGTTGCTCAAGCCTAGACAGGAGAAGTCGAGAAGAGGTCGGGTTCGAACCACGGACCTTCCGGTCAGTAATTTCGCGCTCTAACCACATGGGCCATCTCTACCCGCCCCCCTAATAATAATAATAATAATAAAATAAACAACGTGCATACCTTGGTCGTACACCTCAAAGCGCTTAGGGCGAGCTCAAATGCTCCACATTTCACCCCTCGTGTATCTGGTGATCTTGACGCAATGGCTCGTGGCATCTATGGTACGAGAATAGTACTCATCCCGAAGGCTGAAAGCGCTTTGCTGTACTGGATCCCAATAAACAGTTGTCTTGCTGTTCCAATTGAGATCGATGAGGTAAATGGTGTTTATTTGTCGTATCGGTAGATGCTCAAACAGACTGCAGCTCTGGATCCGAGAATGATGGGTTTTACAAAGATCTGTTGCGAGAGTCAGGATCAGTAATAACTAATACAGCCATCCAGGCGAATGATGTGACAACGCCCCAACTGGACGACCCGACCTCTGCTTCTCGACTTCCCCTGTGTAGACTTGGGCAACCTGGCAGTATCCCAGTCCTAGTGCTTCCTTCTGGTGGCATGGCAGTTAATACACCGAAGAGTGCTACAGCTGAACGATTTCCTTAGGTCTGGAAGAAGTGCAGTTAAATGGTAGATTTGTAATCGATGCTCAGCTGCCACTTTGACGTCGCGGTCAGGCCTGAGTGCTGCAACGATCCCGCCGGCTACATTGTGCCGGACATTGTTGTACGTAGGGCAAGCCTGTCAGGAAGGCCAAAGTGGAAGTTTGTGAACATAATCCGATCCTTATATTCACATACTTCTGGGCCTGTGAGAGTGTATGGTGATCTCTCCAAAAGCTTCCCCAGAGAAAGTGGTGCCCGGCAAGGTGGTCCACTCTCTCTATCTATACTTGTTCAAATTCGTCATTGGTGGGAGGCGAGATGACTCAGTAGTTAGAGCGCGAATTTACTAACCGGAGGGTCCGTGGTTCGAACCCCTCCTCATCATCTTGACTTCGCCCGTCTCGAATTGGACAAACTGGCGGTATCCCAGCCCTCGTGCTTCATTCGGGTGGCATGGCAGTTGGGCACCGAAAGGATGCTACACCTGAATGACATTCTTATTTCGTTACTGATGAAATAATAAAGCAAATGTTGGGAGGTCATCAAAACTCCGATGCTCATTCCGGTCAGTAAGTTCGCGCTCTAACCACTTGGGCCATCTCTACCCGCCCCCCTAATAATAATAATAATAATAATAATAATAATAATAATAATAATAAAATAAACAACGTGCATACCTTGGTCGTACACCTCAAAGCGCTTAGGGCGAGCTCAAATGCTCCACATTTCACCCCTCGTGTATCTGGTGATCTTGACGCAATGGCTCGTGGCATCTATGGTACGAGAATAGTACTCATCCCGAAGGCTGAAAGCGCTTTGCTGTACTGGATCCCAATAAACAGTTGTCTTGCGATGTACAGTTAGCTGTTCCAATTGAGATCGATGCGGTAAATGGTGTTTATTTGTCGTATCGGTAGATGCTCAAACAGACTGCAGCTCTGGATCCGAGAATGATGGGTTTTACAAAGATCTGTTGCGAGAGTCAGGGTCAGTAAAAACTAATACAGCCATCCAGGCGAATGATGTAACAACGCCCCAACTGGACGACCCGACCTCTGCTTCTCGACTTCCCCTGTGTAGACTTGGGCAACCTGGCAGTATCCCAGTCCTAGTGCTTCCTTCTGGTGGCATGGCAGTTAATACACCGAAAGAGTGCTACAGCTGAACGATTTCTTTAGGCCTGGAAGAAGTGCAGTTAAATGGTATATTTGTAATCGATGCTCAGCTGCCACTTTGACGTCGCGGTCAGGCCCGAGTGCTGCAACGATCCCGCCGGCTACATTGTGCCGGACATTGTTGTACGTAGGGCAAGCCTGTCAGGAAGGCCAAAGTGGAAGTTTGTGAACATAATCCGATCCTTATATTCACATACTTCTGGGCCTGTGAGAGTGTATGGTGATCTCTCCAAAAGCTTCCCCAGAGAAAGTGGTGCCCGGCAAGGTGGTCCACTCTCTCTATCTATACTTGTTCAAATTCGTCATTGGTGGGAGGCGAGATGACTCAGTAGTTAGAGCGCGAATTTACTAACCGGAGGGTCCGTGGTTCGAACCCCTCCTCATCATCTTGACTTCGCCCGTCTCGAATTGGACAAACTGGCGGTATCCCAGCCCTCGTGCTTCATTCGGGTGGCATGGCAGTTGGGCACCGAAAGGATGCTACACCTGAATGACATTCTTATTTCGTTACTGATGAAATAATAAAGCAAATGTTGGGAGGTCATCAAAACTCCGATGCTCAAATTGTTCCTGGTGAGAATCTTGTTGATCGCATTCACCTTTGAAGACCAAGGCAAAGCACAAGCTTTGCTAAATAGACTAGCCACCATCATACCATCTTTCGGCATGCACCTAGCACCTTCAAAATGCAAAGTTATGCTACATAATGTGCAACATCTCAACATACCCCCAAAACTTCAAAGAGAATCAATGGAGGTTGTGGATAGTTTCACGTAGTCGTATTAGCCCTGACGGGAACGTGTCTGATGAAGTCTATGTAAAAAGCAGGTTTGTACTGTGCATCACCCGTAGCTTCAAAAAGATTTATCAGTGTCTTAGGGTCATGTGTACAAGGCTACAGTGAGGGCCGCATTGTTTACTGGCTGCGAGACGCGGGATCTGCGGACAGATGATGTGAGACGTCTTCAAGTTTTGACCGCCGATGCCTCAGAAGAGCTGTTGGTTTCGGATGGCCTCACAGGATTAGTAACGAGGTGATTGGAGGACGAGTGTTTGGTTGTAAAGTAGACACTTTAATCACCGAAAACATCCGGCACCACAAATTGCGGTGGTTCGGTCATCTGATAAGCAGCCAAAACACCGTCTACCAACATGAATGTTGTTCTTCGTGCCTTCTTTGGAATGGTACTACCCGAGTCTGTCGGGAACATGGGATCAGCTGAAACACGTCAAATGGTTTCTGGAAGAAATAACTCGCCCACGATAGATGAACTGATCACACTGCATAGGTTATGCTGGCTTGGCCACGTGCTCCAAGTGTCAGTCAACCGACTTCCTCGAACTATCCGTTTCGCACAACTACGGGAAGGGTGTAAATGAGCCAGGGGAGGTCAAACAATGATCTGGCGACGAAGTGTGGAAGCCATTACCAGCAAACTGAGCTGTGCTCATCGTTGGCGTCTCCCTGGATGGAGGTCACGAGACGGGGCACATCAATGGTTGAAGACGGGTTGAAGACATTGTCAGGCATGGCCCAGTCGCACCCTCGATGGTGCTCGTGCATCAAAGTTGTTATCTTCATTGCAAGCTCCTCTACCCGTTCTCCCGATAAAAAGTCCACTGACAATCCAGTGATAGTGTGATCGAATCGGAGCTGATGATAGCTGATGAGATAGCTCATATCGATACGGTTCTTCGAAGATGGCATACTGGTGTGCTTTTTTTCCGACTTTCGAGGGCCTGAGAAGAAACGAACCGTCAGGCGTGTAGTCACCATGGTGTGATCGGAATCAAGAAGTGACGGCAGACTTGAATTGCACCTGTCAACCGGTGGTTGACGGCCACGCGATCCCGTTGTGCACGGAGGACATGCAGTTGGTGACCGCCACGCGCAATGCGAAAGTTTATGCTGAAAGTTCGTACTGGCTAGAAACATATGATCAATACACAACTGGAGGAATCACTCGCCGCTGTCTGTGCGACGAGCATCGACTCCGAATCGACCGCCCAAATGTGATTCTGAAGAGGTCAGACGACCGACTTGGGCGTTTATATCACCCGCAAGGACTACAATGTCAATGATTCTTGCTTGACGAATGAGCCTGAATAACTTTCGATAGGAAAAATCCTTCTCAGCATCAGAACTACAGTCCGTTGGGGCATCAGCCGACACTACAAACAGGCACCGCTTTTATATCAGAACGCATTGAGCTTGATTGAGCTGGATAACCGGACTGCACAAAGACAATTGTCCACTGGGATCCAATCCAGCAAAGCGTGTTCAGCCCTGGAGTTGAATACAACTCCCAGGCCATATATTCTACGACTCATCGCTCCTGGATCGCCGGACATACGCAGAGAGAAGTGTTATAGAGCTGAGTTCGTCCTTAGCCTTTTGAGGTGTATAACCACGCTTAGATCTTGTATGCGTGTTCCGGAGACACAGCGCGCATCAATTTTAAAAGAGTATAAGTTTCCAGCGAGCATTACCTGTTTACCAATTTGACATATGGTACAAACGTCTTAAGGTCCTATGTAGGAAGGATCTCGTTTATTTAGAAAAGTTAATTTGTCTATGTTTAGCAGGCAGCGAGGTACATAAGACCCGTCGGTAAGATAACTGACAGGCAAAGGACCCAACAACGTTTAAGTGTGTGGTGTGAAGGGGTTAGGAAGGGACATCGGTGGACACGGAACTATGCGAGCAAATGATACTTCCTGGTTGCCCGAGCCAAAAAAGGCAGTTTGGCTGAGATACCCCACCTTGAGGCTTTGACTCAAAAGTATGACCCACAAGGCAATGAGAGGATGTAGGATTTTCTTTGGGGACCCTGCTCCTAGCCTCTGACTCAAAAGTCTGGACCGCGTGGCAGTAAACGGTAGAGTTTTTGGGACTTTACCCGGGTCCAATAATCTGATCTTCTCGGCTGAAGGGGGTTGGCCTAACCCGAGGGCGCAGAGTGGGGCATTACCGTCTCACCTCTGATACGGCTGCGTACTTCAGGTGTTTTCTGAGCAGCACCGGGTTCTTTGGTTTTAAAAGTATTTTGACTGCATTGAGTAATGCGCCGGCGGTCACGGTCAACCGGTTGGCGATCGAAGTGTGCGGTTTATGGGGTCGACATTCTCCAACTCGTCCTTCCTCGGGGTAACGCAACTGCTGCTTCCATAAATATGGACATGCTCGTCGCCTGGGAGAAACGCCTTACTGCCTTCACACTCCTATTGCAGAGGACAGTACGACTTCACCTCCAAACCGCCTCGCAATATGCTTACTCGCAGTACGGGGACTCATCGCCCAGCTGGGTTCTTTGGTTTTAAAAGTATTTTGACTGCATTGAGTAATGCGCCGGCGGTCACGGTCAACCGGTTGGCGATCGAAGTGTGCGGTTTATGGGGTCGACATTCTCCAACTCGTCCTTCCTCGGGGTAACGCAACTGCTGCTTCCATAAATATGGACATGCTCGTCGCCTGGGAGAAACGCCTTACTGCCTTCACACTCCTATTGCAGAGGACAGTACGACTTCACCTCCAAACCGCCTCGCAATATGCTTACTCGCAGTACGGGGACTCATTGTTCGCCCAGCTGCTCCCCGTCGGCTTTCCTGGCATGGCTGTGCCTTAAAGAAATGAGTTCCAGCTAGTATAGCCCCCAGGATCTTTGCGGCACAGAAGCCCGACCACCATGTGACAGCTTTGGGTCGAGGTTGTTCCTCTGAGACGAATGCGCAAGAAAAATCAATGGCAAGCTAAACGAAGTGATGAACTCGTCATACGCGGATTGCCATTGTCACCAATAACCCTTTGCCGGACTATGGATATCTATGCGATACTTTTCTCCTAACTTTGATTACCGAGTATCTGATGCGGTTGGATTATTCTTATCATGGCCCAGTATAAGCGCTAAATGTACATTACGTCCATTAAATCTTTAGCCTCTTCCCTAGTGTTTTTGTCACTTCGTTTGGATTTTTGGCGGGCTGTTAATGCGTTTTGCCTGAATATCCATAGCATAGCATCCATAGCATCCATAGCGCATAGCATTGTTGAACCGCTCGGGAAAGGGCCATTTTCTTGTTTCTATTTTGTTCAGTTATAACGATATTCAATCCGTTTCCAACTCACCCTTATGGCTCAATTCCTGTCCTCTACTATCCTTCCCTATTACTCAACAACACCGATACCTGATACCAACCATCTAACGAGACTCTAGCGTCTGCACGTTTTTGTGGCCGATATGCAGGTTTCCAGAAGAAAAAGTCCTCGTGCTGGAAAGATTGCTGTCCCGCGCTTGCGTCTTTCAGGCGAACGAAAGCCACTGAACGAAAAGAACAAAACTGATCCGGAAATCTTGGGCGAAAGCCCCGATTTTGTGTATCATTCTGTCTTCAGGTGATGGAAGACAAACGTAACAAGTCCAGCGAAACGCCATTTTTCGAAAATGTGCCTGGCCAGAATCTCGAACTATTGACCGTCCCACACAACACACCTACCGCAACATACATTGATTGGCTTACACCCGTAAAAAGACGCCGAGGGCCATAAACTAATGGGGAGCAGCAGAACTCTTCGGGCCGCCCACAAAAACTGTCGAAGATGTTCAGGGACTGATACCGGGGCGATGAATTTGGCTGACCGTAGTCAATGTGTGGAGCGGTTTACCGGGGGGTCGTCTGTGAGCATAAGGCCTTTAGAAGACTCGCCAATTTCATCAGGAAAAAGCCGACACAAACTGTAAATCAACGAATACCCCACGGAATTCGAGTCACTGTCTGAAAGAAAGGTTCACTGGCCAAGATTGAAATGGAGGAAGGACAATGAGAACCAAGTAGCGCTACCAGGATTGAGAAAACTCAAATTGCTCCAGCAGGAAGTGAGACAGCTCCATTGGACCACACCTGATACTCGCACCCGCAGATTAATTTATTCGAAATACGATATTCAAGTCTGACTCAACCCATGCCCAGAGACCAGGCGCTCGAAATAACCGAAAAAGGCCACAGTCAAACGCTCGCAGACTGACTAGGCTGTGGACCAAGATTGCATACCCTGATTGGTCGGAATATGGACCAATCAGAATCAAGCATTCTCGGCGTCACACACCGCACCACTACGGGGACATTTTTTGTGAAATTACGTGATCACTCTGTGGGTAGCAATCCTCGGCTTTCTGTAAAGCTACCGCGCCTTTAATTACACTATAGGGCACTGAAAAACACGACAAGGTCCCTCAAGTTAGTTGCAATACGCGACCCCCGAAAATGTACGTAGCTCATAGTGTCAGTCTCAGCAAAGTAGCCCAACTTCACTCTAGCGACAGAAACCGCAATGCATTAGTGAAAATATACGGGGCATCCACTCCTCCCGCAGACTGTGCAGCTTAACTCATTTGCTGAATTCCGCTCTGACACTCGGTCTTAGCGAACTGTCTAAATTTGATCCGCAAATGACGAAGACATGTGTCGAACCTAATTTAACGGTTAGGCTCCTGCTGCGAAACATGAGGGCAGCTGGACACTGCCAATCCAAAGATTACACAATCACAGAAATTCTTCTTTTCCTTGGTGTCTCAGACAACACCAAAATGCTGGCCCAAATATTCCGTTAGCAGGTTTCACCGTTAAATAAGCGCTATCGGATTCTCAAGATTACCACGGAAGACAATGGGTGCTTTACCACTTATGTGATGGGAGCTTCAAGCTCAATTCCGTGGGCGTGGTTGAATCAACGTCACTTATCTCCATGTCTGGTGTCCAATCTTTGTAAAATAGGATATTCTAGTAAACTACTGAATCGAATCAAGAAGTCCTCGAAAGCAACACGTCAAAAATCACGCCACATGCTGGCCTTCTGATAGCTATAGGGCCGATGTAGCGGGGATTGAAAATTTTTGGGCCACTTACCCTGTGGTATACGGTGTCTGTCATTCTAATTGATTCATATGTAAGTATTGGTGATGTTCAACCTTGCTTACTGGGCCTTGGCTCATGAGCTTTATTTCTGTTTTCCATCCATAGAAATTGTCGTGAACACCTGCCTTCGGTGAATCACTGTCCCCTGGTGCATATTACAACCCTAACACAGTATGTGAGTCGCCCCCTATATCCAATTAAATTATAAAAG